GTCCATTTTTTTGTTTAACAATGTTACTGCCCAAATAGGTTTAATTCCATTTGATAGAGTATTAAAGTGAGTAATTATATTTCTCAACCAGAACTCCCTATAATTAGCCCCTTGGGGTCTATTTATAGGTAAAAATGTGGATTTGGGCCCCTAGCCTTGGGCTTAGGAGGCCCATTACAATAATCATGCCTTCTTTGGGCGAATAGGGCCACTAATGGGCTGAGTACAACACTTAGTACATAAAATAGGAAAATACATTCTGCCTGGACGAAGTCCGGACGATGCGGTCCATGGACGATGCGGTCCATGGATGATGCGGTCCATGGACGATGCGCTCCCTTGGCCGATGCACTCCCTTGGCCGACGCGATCCCACTTTGTCTCCAGGTCGCATCCTGAGTAATTTTAGTTCTGGCCGATGCGACACCTTGTTGGCCGATGGGGGACCCAAACGGCCTAAGGGACGCAAAGTGGGTGTCTATCTTTAGTAGTTTGATCTTTTGAGTATGTGGGCTATGGGGTCTGCGCCTATATACTCTATCACCATTTTTTATATTCCCCAATCCCCATTACTTGACCCAATGCGGTTAAACCGTTTTGACACAAATTTAAAATATGACATGCACATCGTTGATGAAAGAATATGTCCATATTAGTTCAAGGATCGCACAATTCAAGCTATCTAAAAATAGGAACAGTATTATTTGTGACATTATCAAATCCAAAACCAAAAACCTTATCAATCACATTATATTCAATTAAAGTACTTTCAATTAAAATGTAAATATTATCACTGGTGTGTTTCTCATAAGGACTCTCTAAATGCAATAACCATCTGATGTATCACCCAGTCATCTTCAATATAATGCACAATTACTATGATAAAATACCAGTAACGGTACTTATCTTCCCAAGTATCATTACAAAAGTTGAGTAATTTATCATTTTCAAGATTATATTGTTGATAACTTCTTTTTTGATATTTTTTTTTTGAATAATTTCTAAATTGAGGATTTGGTGACCTTTGAGCATACTTATGTAAGGAAAGAATTTCACAAAGATAAAGATTTTTTTTTTCAACAATTAATTTAGACTATTTTTTAAGTTGTTCATCATTACAAGAAAAGTTATCAAAATGTTGAGAATTTTCAAACCTTGACATTTTTGTTTGTGTCCCTTTATCCTTTGTCATTACCGCCTCCATGGGGTGTCTCACATTCAAAAATTGCCCCATCTCCTCATCGGTCATTGCGTCTCTAAGATCAAATTGCGTCCCATAAGCTCCATTTGTATCTTGGGTTCAAGACAAAGATGTTGATCCTATCAGGGATTTTTCCATGACTTCGAGAAGTAGAAGAATTAGGAACCTCATTCTTACAGTTACCCAAATTAATAGGATTTCTAGAACCCGACATTATGAACAATGATTTTTTTTTGGGATGGGCTTTCTCTTTTCACATAGCATCTGTTCTCTTAAATGCTAACATTCTTGACTGGATGAGTTTCGAACCTGTGACCCCCCCTTTGAGAGTGTCACAGTGATGCCATCGAACCACAAAATGCTTGACACATAATGAACAATGATATAACTATACTATTAGTACACACACATGAATAAGGATTAGAGATCAAATACAAACCACGCTTAATTTACTATCCTTCAAACTCAATAATATGCAACACTTTGAACTTCAATATGCAATACAAATAATGTAAAGATGCACATTTTGAACTTCAATATGCAATACAAATAATGTAAATATGAAACTTCTATTTTTATGGCTCGAATAATATGCAACATTTTGAACTTCAATATGCAATATAAATAATGTAATGATGCACGATTTGTAGGTTAACATGAGAGGACTAGTTTGTATATGATCTCACCCCTATATATAAGTATGTGATAATATGACTATTACATAATACTTCCTATAAAGATTAAATAATATGAATATTAAAAAATTGCATATAAATCGAGAGCTCCGATGTAAACCCTAGACTAAGGGCGCCGCAGGTCTTCTGACGAAGATCATTTCATCGATCAGAGTACTTTGATGGAGCGTGGATTGAGAGGAGATTAGCGCCTCACGTAAGGGAATGTTTCAAAGAAGAGAAGAATGGTTTGAGGTTTTTGAATCGGCCAAGGGGAGGTTTGCATCGGCAGCAATCATGTGCGCGGGTCTCTTCTCCCTTGTCTCCACTAGTTAATTTTATTTCTTGTTTTGTTTCCGGGCTCTGTCCCGAGGGTTGCTTCAGGCTCTTTGTGGTCGAGATTTGGTTTGTTTTCTGCTTTGGTTGGACAGCGGGGGTGCTTCTCCAGAGTCGAGTAGAGTCTATGAATTTGGAGATGATGATAAAAAATTATAGCATGAAATCCATTGCTGAGGAAGAGAACAGGGAATTGGTGCTAGCAGCAGTTCTAGGAAGGAGGGATGTTGTGGAAGTGAATTTGGGGAACCCGGTAGAGGTTGAAGTCAATATGGAGGAAGATGGGCTCATATCAAAAAACGATGTTGGGGCGGTGCTACAGAATCAGCACCGCCTAGAATATCATTAGCTATTGTAAGGGGGAGTCTTCCTTTGGAGGTGGCTGGACAAACCTCTTCTCCCTTCCCGATGGATGGTCAAGTCGGCATGTTGTCTTTGGAGGTGGTGGATAAAACCTCTTCTCCCGCTACTTCCTTGCCAGTGGCTGGTCAAACTGGCCTTTGTTCCTTTTCTGTTTTTTCATTAGTTTCGAACTCTATTTTGTTATTTCATTCCCCTTCTAGTAGCAGGAACAATGTTGCTGTGTATGGAGTCTACCAAATCGCGGGGTTAGCGAGATGAGCCGCTAGTAAGCGCGATCCCAGCTCTGAGTCTCATCCTAGTGTAGCCTTTGTTATGGCAATTTCGTATCCGGTCCTCAGTTTGATTAATAATTAAGTTATCTGTTCAAAAACAAATCGATATTGAATATTCTAAATATGATAGGTATTTATAGTTTCTTTTACCCCATCCCCATCCCACCCCAGACCCAACAGTCATAATAGCAGTTGGAGGTGTTTGACTCGAAGTAGCTATTGGGGGCTTCCAACCCAGTTGAGGCTCGTCCATGCCCAATCCCGATGGGCAAACCTTTGATTTGCCCCTAGCTCTTTTTCCAAGAGTTTTCCACTCCCCGTCGAATGACCCGTCTTCCCCAGTCCCTTAAAGCCCTCCCGGGGGCCTAGCCCTCTTTCTCAACTCGAGTCTGAAGTTCAGGGGCTTTCATCGTTTACGAACACCTGCGCTAATAAGACAAATAAATGGGGAGTCTATGCTTTGAATGAATCAGTAACAACGGATTAGTGGAATGAGGGATCAAGAGACGGATATGGAGGGAATGTGGGTTTTTTTTGGGTTGGACTTTCTCTTTGACTGTGGAATTTGCGATCGAACGACCTGGAAGACCCGGGCACCCTACCTTGCTTTAAAGCAAGGCAGAGGCCCCAGATCCGCTCAAAGCACCTTATTGGTAGCCTGAGTTGAGTACTCCGCATTAATTATCGTCATTTTCCACTTCAAAAATTGATCTGGAAGCTAATGGTGTCATTTTCCATTACACTATTTTTGAATGATTTGGGGCAAAAATTTTGAAGTACTAATAATACTATATTTGATCCTAAACTTATTTATCTATAACTTTAATTTCATACGTATTACTAAATATATATTTCAGAAAATATAGTACAAATATATAAAGAAATACTCATACTCAGCATTTTTTTTCCGGTTTAATGTTTTTAGTCCTTGCAAATATAGTACATTTTGTTTTATATCCCTGCAATTTTTTTTTTCATCCCTGCAATTTATGTTAGTTTTCTTTTTAGTCCATCACCAATGATATCAACATCCGTTTGATCTGATACTAAACCTGCTAATAGATTTCCTTTAATCCTTTGCCATTTTATTTAAAAATATTTAATTTATTTTTTAAAAGGCTGTTAATATATATATTTTAAAAATGTGAATGTTTAGTTTTATATTACTTCAGCTCTCATATTAGCCTCAAAAAAATTATAAAAGGATAAATTTAAATATTTCTAGTAGATTTATGCAACTGATAATAATTTTTTTCTAAGTAGAGTGGTTTTGGAATTAAAGAAAGACTAAAATCAAAATAGGGTATACTACAGGGATGAAAAACAAAAAAAATATTTTGCAGGAATCTAAAACAAAGTGTGTGATATTTGCAGGGACTAAAACATATTTAATAAGTCACTTTCTTCCTTTACACTTTTACGTAGTACGGAGTATTTCTTATCAAGTACCGTAACTATAATTGAACATTCAATTCTAGTAATACAATATTAAATAATAATACAGAATAAATATATGATAATTATTCGGAGTAACATATAATTTATTACTACCTCCGTAACATTGGGATGTTCCCATTTGAAAAGTAGGTAAATTAAGAATAATGAAAGTAAATACTTCCTCTGTTCTTAAATAAGTGCAACAGTCAACATTTCACATTTGCCGAGACACAACTTTGATCATTAATAAATCTCTATTAGTAAAAAAATTAAAAAAAATCAGATTTAGAAAATTTACAATGAGACAAATTTAGTAAAAATTTTTTGAAAAATATATATTTATACATTAATAAATAAAATGTAGTCAAAGTAGAACATGTGAATAGTGTAAAATTTGGTATGTTGCACTTATTTAAGAACGGAGGTAATATGTATTATTGATGGTATGATGGGAAGATAATGAAATAATGTGATGGAATAAAGGATAAATCCAAAAAAAAGTAGATGTAATAGTGTATTATTTTTAAAATTATTGATAGTATGATGAAGAGATTTAGAAATGAAAAGATATTAATGTTACATCAAAAAGGAAAAGTGAGAAGATATTTACGCTATAAAAGATTATAGGAGTAAATTTGGAACAGATTAAAAAAGTCTGGTGAATAATTCCAAAGTTAACAATTTGACAAAAGAACAAAACAAGATAACAAAGGTGATAAAGAAAACCGAAAAGAAAAGTTTTAGAAAATTGAAAAGTGAAAACACGCGTGGCCACTAAACGCACAACAAACAGATACAGATCCATATCCACCGACTCCATCCAAGCCTAGCCCTGCGCCGGACTCCGCACCTTCCCCTTCTAACGGCTAACACCGCCGACGGCTTGATTTCTCCCAGGTTCGCTGCCTCCGCGCTCCAGAGACCTTTACTTGTTTCCGGTGGTCGTGTATTAGACTTTTTTTTTATAATTACTGTAATGGTATTAGGTCTTGCCATTTCACATCTGCAAAAGAAAGATTATATGTTTGCCAATGTTGCCTTTGCATCCATTTTATATACCCCGAGTAGTATGTTTTCCAGTATTGTTATTTCACTTGTTTTGTTAGCTATTGACGTTAAAAATTACGAGCGTTTTGCATGGAGCTGAATTTTATAGAACAAAACTTAATTACGAACCAAAACAGAACTACTTTATGGTTATTTTGGTTCTAGTACCGCAACTCATTTCAATAGGATTCAATCAATCATATTTTATGATTTTTTTATTGTTTAATTCTTTTAATAAGACTAAATAAAGATGTTTTTACTTGGACTGAAATTTGTTGGTTTGGTTTGGTCTGTTTAAGTCTGGTCTGAACAGGTCTGGTCTGTCGTACATGTTTGGTCTCTGTGTATTTTATAACTATGTAAGTCTGATATTTTTAAATCTGGTCTGGTCTGAGACTGAAACCAGTCCAAGTAAAAACATCCTAAGTCCTATTTATGGAATAATACACAATTAGTCATGTTTTTGAACATTATTTATGTTTACTCCTATTTAGAGCAATTTCTTTTTCAAGCTTTCAATTGGGATATTTGTATCCTAGACCAACAAATTAATTCCAATCTTAATCTAAAATTCCAAACCCAAAAACCGGTATGCATACTCTTTTCTCTCACCAGGCCTTGGATTACAGATGAGGCTAGAGGGTGGCATTTCGACCAACTTTGGAAAAGGTCAGTGTTTTCGGGGAGTGGGAATGGTAGTTAATAGACTAATAGTTATGGAAATCAGAAATTTATAACTCAATGATACCGTCCAACATTAAAAGAATGAAGTTATTTGGCTGATGCTCTAGCATAGTAGGTGTGTAACTGTGTAAGATGGCGAAATCAGAAATTGTCCAAATTTATTGCTGCTTAATGTTGTGAGATTGTCAGCACATTTTTACCTTATTGCAAAACCCAGTGAACTCTCAAAATGTGTGCATAGTGTATAAGTGTGTTGATGTGTACTTATGTGTTAAAAGTGGATAAGTTGTTGCTACCTATTCTCTTGAGTGGTGCTACTGACTGAAGCTTGTGCCTTTAACTGCTCTTAGCATGTGACTGAAGGTCTGAACTCTATTTTCTGCTAGGTTCCCTTGTGATATATGTGCCATGAAGTTCTTGGAGTACACTCCGCTTGATCAGTAAGTCCTGAAGTGTCATTGTTGAAACGACAAAATCTGTTTAAAGATTTCAATTTTAATGTTTGTTGTTTGCCTCACTCGGCGTTCTGATTATTTTTTCTACCTATCTAGTCTTCCTCCTCCTCATCCATTTCCTTTTTCTATTTAAATTTAGATTAACTTAATTTGAAGTCCTTTTAACGGTTAAACACTCTGTTTACACTTTCAGTATAAGTGAGTTTTTGAGTCATGTGAATCTAGGAGAACGCACTGTTAAATGCTCTCTTGAAGCCTACTCTTGTAAGTATGGTTATTCACTTATTCTTTTTTAAAGCAAACTATATAATTATGTTTTGGCTGTCTAATGGTTGAAAGTTGTTTTTCCATGTATTTTTAAGGCAAACACACTGGAACGGATAAGAAGTTGTCTTTCAGTTTGGAAAATGAGGTGATCTTTATTGATAACTTATTCTTTTAGTTGTTTCCCTTATTCCCCACAGTCAATTGTTTCCTCTTTGATGAATTTTGATTGAATACACTAATGTGTGCATGTGTGCTGTCCGTTCCATCCTTAGATTTCTTGCTTCCTATATGATCTCAGCTAGTCCATGCTACCAAAGAAGAACTGTCTTGCATGCGGTGACATGTTATATGTCTTAGTGTCCAACTGTCCAATTTCTATATTTGACCTTCTCTTTTGCTCTAAACAGACTTTTTTATTGAATAGTAGCTTTAAAGCAGGAAGTTTCCTATAAATTATTTGACTAGAAATTAATTCTGGGTATATTATACCCATTGCATTTGTAGGTGTTCTAAAAGTAGCCTTCCAATGGATAATTACCCATTGGCAGTGTAATGATTTTGTTTGAATTAAAATTTGGCACTCTATTATGGTCCTATCTCAGATTCTTGATTACCTCGGAAAGTCATCTGACACCGACTCATCTTCACCGGTTGATTATCTATGTTGTAGATCCAGGTGGTGAATCCGAACTAATTGGCTGGCCTAATAATTGTGTAGCTATTTAAATGGGTCATAATTATTTGTGAAATTTGTATTCCAGCCGAAAGACATTGATTTATCTGCTCCTTACACTGAATCACATATATCCAGATCATGATTTCAGGTAACTCTGTAGATTATTTTTTTGACATGAGCTGAGAAGTAGGATTATGGGTAATGCCACTGTCAGCTTTTTGGGCGATATGGCATCCCGTTATAATCCTATCTTACAGCTTTGTGGGAGTGTTGTCAAAAGGTTTGACAGGCAGTTTAGATGACTGTTGCTCTAGGTGGAGCTGAGAGTTCAAGTCTCTCCATTTCCCAAAACTAAAATCCGTCCACTTGGCTGTACTGATTACTGTGTGATGTTTTTTTGGTGATGCCACAATGTTCCAACTTTCTGGTTTACCAGTGCAGTGAATGCTCACCAATTTTTTTCTGAAGAAAACTGGGATAGTTTTAAGCAGGCATTTGATACTTACATGTTTGAGGCATCCAAGGTAGTTTTAATATTATGGTTCTTCCAATGAACTTATTTGGTTAATGATATAATGTGGTAGCAGATTGAGTTGCTTGTTTGGGAAGGTTAGGTACTTTTTTGAATGATATCTTGAGATTTTTGCTGTAGGAATGGATTGAGACACATGATGGCAGTCCTCTGCTAGAGACATTGTACAAGGCCTTGGATGAGGTGTGTTTATTTTGACAAAACATATTGATACGTGTATGCTAAAAATTTGACATATAATGGTTGCAGGTTGTGAAAGTCTCTGACTGTGAAGTTTATAGCTACAATCCCGAGGCTGATTCAGATCCATTTCATGAAAAAGGAACCTTGTAAGATTTACATTCGTTAAATTTTGATCTTTGGTTCCCATATTGTTTTACTTCTTGGTTTGTCACTGAGTCATCATAACTAGAGGGTTAATATGTGCTTTGGAGCTTATCCTAGAGAATATTTGATACATGATTTTTGCATTTGCCTTTGCCAGATCTTATGCAGCTTGCCTCAGTGGTAATGCTAATTGTAGTGCATCTATTTCTTCATGCACTTTTCTTTCTTTTAGGGTATATTTGGATTCAGAAAAAAAGCAATGGAAAAAACTGGTACTGAAATACATTGTTATATGGTTTACCTTGGGAAAAAGAAGGAAATCATAACAAGACTAATCATTCTTTAAGAATCCAAATATATTTGGGCCTTCAGTGTTCATATAATGATATTATTATATAAGTAAGTAAATAAAACGAGTTTGAACGAATATCTAAAGCCATCTTTTTTAGTATGAGCTTATTTCTAATTTTTGGTACATCTTCTTTGCTTATATAGAAGGGGAACTTTGGCGCACCGGTTAGTCGGTTACGGTGTTGCTGTGTAATCGAGAGGTCACAGGTTCAAGTCTTGGGAGCGGCCTCTTGTCAAAATGACAAGGGAATGGTTGCTCCTTTCCCCACAGAGACGCCAATGTTCACGAGACTGCCAAAAAACAAAAAAAAACTTTCCTCTTGACTTTCTGCCTCTATTTTATTTCCCTAGAGTTTTCTGAGTTCCAAACAGACAGTCTATTACTGTAGACTGTCAAATAATGAAGTCAAAACTTAAATAGACTATATGACGAGTCTATTACTGTCTGAACTGTAACAAGATGTAGCTCTCACCTTTAACCTTTTTAATAATATTAGATGGAGATTGATCATTGAACTGTATGGAATGGGTCAAACTTGCATAGGTGAGGCGTACCTAATTTTTGTGTGTTTTGCAGATGGGCATACCACTTCTTCTTCTACAATAGGAAGTTGAAACGCATTGTCAGCTTCCGCTTTAGCTGTGTGAGGTATGGGGTTTCCTGTTAATAGATCTTTGTTCCTAAAAAAGGCTTGTTTCAAAAGTATTTTTGTAGAAAAAGGTTTTGTTCCAAAAGTTTTTTTGTAAACAAAAAAGTCGTATCCGATCAAACAAAACTATAATAATTTATTAAATTGCCAAAAAATTTCAGAGTTTTATTTTGTTAAAGTTTTAAGTTGTACCTTTACCAAGTTGTACCTTTGTCAAAATTAGAGTACATTGTGTGTGTGCATTTATGGTCACACTTTGAAGGACTATGTCATTTGTTTCAGCAACTTGGCTTCAGCCGATGGATTGAATAACCAGGAAGAAGATGGATACATATTCTTCGATGGCATGGACATGTGAAGAAGCAAGAAAGCAAGACAATGTGACGTGAAGATGTATGCATATGATGATGCTCTATAATCAGTCACTGGGAAATTGTGATTACTAATTAGGATGAATCCCGCACTTAACCAGCACTTCTGTTAATATATGTGTATGAAGATCATGAACAAATATGTGATTACTACTCCGTATTACGGTATTAGGTAGGTTGCAACTGGATCTTATGTATACACTATACTGTTTAAGCAAAGAATTGGTTCTTCGGAACAATTAATTGAATATGGGGATTCGCACAAGAAACTATATATGAACGAATGAGTTTTGCTATAGAGATTAATGAATAAAAATAAGATTGCTCAATAACTTGGAAGCTTGTGTGAGTAGTATCGATAATAAGACTTGAGTTTTTGTTTACATCGTATTCTCCTTAAATAAAGCCTCTCTTCCTATCTTCCAGCCAACTACCCGCCTAAGTAGCCGGCCTTACATTTGAACGTGCGCAGTCCCTTTCTTTCTCCCCAAGTTCACTTGATCTTATCCATTTAGGTAGCAACGGGCTGCTTACTCCTTCCTGCCAAGTTGGACCCTCGTTCCCCTTATTGCAAGATGGGCCAATCACCCTTTAACTTCCGCGGCCCAACAATTGCCCCCAATTCGGAGGAATAGTTGACGCCGACTCTATGGGAATTCGAAACGGGCAACTTTCCTTCGAATTAATACGTCTTGAGCTTCGCGAAGACTTCTATTTGAACACTCAACCGGTGCCATCATCACTTTCAATTCGAAATCTCTTTTAAGAATTACTTCATCTTCCTTGTTACTCTTCTGCTTCCATGGCTTCCCAAGTGTTCGTTCCACAATTTATTCTAGAGCCCAAAAGCGCCAAACAAGCAAAACTTACTGAGGAGCAGGTGGAACTCATCCAAACCTCCGCTGGCTTCCCTCCTACCGCGACTATCCGTTTTCCGACGGCGAATGAACGCATGGACTGGTTCTGCCCTGGTTGGGTGAATTTCCTATACTACCCCTTCAAGATTGGGATGAAATTCCCGTTTTCTTCCCTAACTCGGGGTTTCTTGGAGTTCGTCAACTTGTCGCCTTCCCAAATTATGCCCCAGGTGTGGAGGATTCTTCGTGCGTTGGAGGTTGTAAGCGAAAAGTATGACATTCCCTTCGAATTTGAGGACTTGGGCTTCACTTACGAACTTCGAACTTCTGGGCCTGGCCGATTCACCCTGGCGATGAAGGACAAGAAACCAAGGCTCATCCACAAAGTTGACAAGGCGAATGACAGGGGCTGGATGCACTAATACTTTTTTGTCCTCAAAGATTCACTTGGTAGTGAAGGGTCTTTCCTTGAAGATAACCTGCACAAAGGTAAATAAATAAATATATGTGTGTGTGTGTGTATTGTAATAGCGTTCTGTTGCCGTGGCGTGTTCTTGCAAATGCGCAGTAAATTACAATCACATTCGTAACCCTTGGTTTCAGAGAAGAAGGCAATTTCCATCCCTTATGGTCCGAAATCGGAGGAACGTACTGCACGAATTCAAGCTATCCCCGTGGAAGAACGCTGGTTTGTAAACCTGGTTGCCGAATCTCCAGGTATGCCCCCTATTCTCACTCCTGATAGATCCGTCGGGTTAAGGCGTTCTGGTCGCAATATGAAGGCTTCTATTAATCTGATTCAAGACTCGTCTGTAGTCTCACTTGAGGACTCAGATCAGGAATCAGAAACCTCGAAGGCTGGTGCGGGAGGGAATGCAGATATCTACATCCCAATGCAGGTCGTCTTTCCGGTGGGCGATAGTTCTCAGACGGCTCCCAAGAAATGTCCCCCTCCAGCTCCTGGTAAGCATCTGATCTTGTTTTTCAGCTTAGAACTTGTCAAGTGTAATGTAGCTGTTTCTGTTCCTACTTCATGTTGTATGCATTACTGCAGCTGCTGCGTCTTCTTCCAGCTCCCGCTTGGTTCCGTCCGCTCACGAATTGCTTGCCCTAGCTTCTCGGAAGAAAAGAGCCTCTCCAAGATTGGCTTCCACCCCACTGAAACTTCCCAAGATTGCTGCCCCTGATGAGGTGAAACCCAATCTTCCTCGACTTCAGGAACTCAAGACTGCAATGGCCCCTAAGCCCTTGGATGTGAGCTTATCACTTTCCCCTGACTTCTGCAGTCTGCAAGACGTATCCTTAATGAGGGGTGAAGTTCATAAACTCATGCTGCCATCTTCTCCAGATGTTTTCAAGTGCCTGCCCCCAGCTGGATTGTTATCTGCATCATCCTCTTACGCTTTTCAGGTAACGCCTTTCCCTCACTTCTTTTTCCCCCCTTTCTTGGAAACGACCTCCTCAAACGTGGTTGCATGATCCGTCAGAGTATGCAAGCGAGTATGGTTGCCGCCGAGAGGGTGGCAATGCTAGAGAAAGCTCTTGATGAATCTAGGCGCAAGGAATCGGCCTCTCGTGCTCTAGCGGAAGATAATGCTAAGCTGGCCCGGGACCTTCAAGAAGAAGTGTCAGCTCAATCCTCTCAAATCTCCAGGCTTGTTGACAGGGTTAAGGCTTTGGAAGCTTATGGGCGGAAGAAGAAACAAGAAGTCACTGACGCAGCTTGCTACTACGTCTGGCAAACCAGAGGAGATCTAATGGCCTCCTTTCTTGCGGGTGAGTCATCTAATTGGAGCGCTGAAGAAGACATTGCTACTTGGAAAAAGGTTCAGGAGGACATGGACCCCCCTGTTGCTGAGGACGGCTTTGATGTGGGTCACTCTGATGGTGAGGCTGACTCCAAACATTCTTAGATTGCTTCGTTTTCTTTAACACTTTTGCTAAACACCTCTGATCTTGTTCCCGGTATCCTGGTGGTTCATCCAGGACGGGAAGTACTCTTGACGCTTCATGCCTGTGCACTTGGTGGTTTATCCAAGGTCTGACATTTGTTTTGCTGTATGCGATGTGAAAACTTTGATGCGATTGCTTTTGTTATCTTGTGTGTGCGCACTAGTGCTGTCGTGTATGTGTAGATATATGTGCTGTTATGTACGTGTGTTTATTTTGGCCAAAAAACATATATGTGTTGCAAGGGCCGGCTGGGACTGTTATCCATGATTTTCTCATGGGCAGCCCAGCCCTTTCCCATTTGATGTCGATGTATAGTGCCTTATTGATAAGATCATGAATGATGCTTTCCACTCTTCGAGAGTTGATTCACTAATGTCTGTCTTGAGCTAATCCTGCATCCAATACAAACCGTCGACGCTGGCCGTTGGCTTTGAGCCAATGGCCCTCCGATGGTTAAGTCAGTAAAAGCTATGGTGCAAAATAGTTTAAAGGAAAATGCTAATATCATTATGCCAATGACAAAAAAATCATTAAGTCTACAAGTGCAAAAGATTTCAAAGGAAAATGTTAATATCATTAAAGACACAAAAACTTTAAGTAGCCCTAATGTATTTTAAATCATTCATTCAGACTTATAATTGTCATGGTACCTTTTAGACTAAACCCACTGACCTGTCAAGGGTCAACTTGAAAGACACGGCAAAACTTCAAAGTGGCATGCAAACTAACCATGACGTTATGACAGATCCGTCATACTCGAAATGTCATGGCCCTTACCAGGACGTATGACGTATCCAAGGGACTCACCCCGCGCTTCGTTTGGCTTTCTGCACTTCAAAGTTTTGTTAGGTCTGGTCGTTGGCTTTTAGCCAACGGCCCTCCGATGCTTAAGTTAGTGACTTGCTCGAATCGGATCATTAAATAAGACATAAAAAGATTTAGAAATGGAAAAATTTTAAATGTACCGCGTTCCAGCTTCTAGGAACCTGTTTACCGTCGATTGATTCTAAGCGATATGCCCCCTGTCCAATAATGTCGACGATCTTATACGGACCTTCCCAATTGGGGCTGAATTTCCCACTTGCTTCATTTCCGAATGCTCTTGTCAAAACCCAATCTCCTTTTTTGAACACCTTTGCCCGAACGTTCTTGTTAAAACTCTTTGCCACCATTTGTTGATAGGACTGTAGACGGATCTTAGCTTTCTCTCTAATTTCGTCGATAGTGTCAAGATCATGTATTAACTCGACGTTGTTCCGCTCTTCAGTCATAAGCCCGTATCTTGAGGATGGCACTTCAACTTCTGCTGGTATGACCGCCTCACAGCCATACACCAAGGAGAAAGGAGTCTGCCCGGTCGCATTCTTTGGAGTCGTCCTGTCAGCCCACAATATCAGGGGTAACTCGTCAGCCCATCTGCCTTGTGCTTTCTCGAGTCTTTTCTTCAAATTGGACACAATGATTTTGTTGCTAGACTCGGCCTGTCCATTGGATTGCGGGTACCTAAGAGTTGGCGTATCCAACCTGATGTTGTACCTTTCGCAGAAGCGTCGGGTTTTTGCACTTATGAACTGAGATCCATTATCACACACGATCTCCGACGGAATGCCAAACCTGCAAAGTATGTTACGTCTGATAAAAGATATTACCTGTTCATCACGTACCTGATGGAATGGCTCAGCTTCCACCCATTTTGAGAAATAGTCCGTCATTTTCAACATGTAAACCTTCTGTCCTGGAGCTTCGGGCAGCTTTCCCACGATGTCCATTCCCCATTTCATAAAAGGCCAGGGTGAGAGGACTGGATGAAGCGACTCTGATGGCTGATGACGGATCGGACCGTGCTTTTGACAAGCCTGACAACTTTGGGTGAAGGTGATTGCGTCATGCCGCATGGTTGGCCAGTAGTATCCAAATCGGAGAGCCTTGTTAGACAGACTCCTCCCCGCAGCATGGTTTCCACACTCGCCTTCATGAAGATCTTTGAGCACTTTCATGGCTTCTTGAGGTGCTAAACATCTTTGGTATGGACCTGCTTTAGATCTTTTAAACAAAACATCATCGATTAATAAGAATTTAGTTACCTTGGAGAGGAATGCCTTAGCTTCTTTTTTGTCCAATGGTAAGACGTTACGTCTCAGGTATGCCATGTATGGCTGCATCCAGTCATCCTGTGAGGGCGGATTAATTGTGCAGACGGACTCCAACCTGTCAATTGCCGGACTTGTCAAGTGGACGAAAGGGATGTTACTATTGACCTCTGCCCCCAGACATGACCCAATCGCAGCCAAAGCGTCTGCCTGTGTGTTCTCTTCTCTTGGTACTTGTTCAAGTGTGATCTCGTCGAACCATGCTATCAACTCCGTGACGATTTGCAGGTAGGACGTCATCTTGGGATCCTTTGCTGCATAAACACCATTAGCTTGGTTAACTATTAACAAGGAATCACATTTTACCTGGAGTAGCTTGACACCCAAATCCTTTGCCAAAGTTAAGCCTAC